CATCCTGGGGCCCTATCTGTTATCCAACTACCCTCTTCAAAATATTTCTTTTATCATAAAATGAGAGGGGGGTGGGGAACCAGATACATTTACAACGGCCAAAAACAAAAGAGCTCATAATTGGAATTCTTTGTTCATTTAATCTGAAAATACTAAAAGCTAAAACACATTTTTGTGTGGAATTTTTTTAGCAGTTTTGCAGTGTCAGGTAATGTTTGAGGTGGAAGGAACCTTAGAGGTCATCCAACACAACTCCCTCATTTCATAGGTAAGGAAACTGACTAGTATAGGTGAGATCAGCTGCACCCAGTTGAGTTTTGTCTTGCATTTCTCAGGGAAAGAGACTTCTTCAGGTTTCTAACTAAACAGCGGGCCTCTCTTGCCTGACACAGGTTATACTGGCCAGAGACAAAAGTAAAATGGAGATTTCTAGAACTGTTTTTCTGGACTAACCTCAACTTGGGTCAATTTTGTTCCTCCAGGTGTGAGGGGCAGGCTGCAAAGTGTAACTGACTCCAACAAAGGAAGCCAGCTGGGACTGAAGTGGAATGAGTTTAGGATCCATATGGGAGAAAATTCCAGAGATTAGGAATTACCGAACATCTGAATAGACAGACAGCTGAGAATGGTAGTGGAATCTCCTTTTCTATCTGTCTAAATCTGTTAATTTGGGTTTCTTAGAGGCAAGGGAATGGATTGGGTGGCCTTTTAAGGTTCCTTCCTGACCAAGGATTCTTATTGAGTTAGGTAATATAATAAAGGTAAATCCAATCCGAAAGTCTCCCCAAGCCAACGTTAACGGGAATGAAGCTTTATGAGGGAAACTTCAGTTGAGTGTCTAGTTTCTCATTTCTCCTCTGCCTTGCAGAAATTAGCAACATAGAGAACGGAGGCAGCTGGTGTAGCTTTTGGGGGAAGAAATGTGCTACTACAATGGTAAGGGATGAAATGGATTCATGACCTTCCAGAGATGGAGAATAAAGCCCGATAGAACCAGGGCAGCAAGGAATTCTCACTGAATTAAATTCTGATATACTAGCTTTTATTAATGGAGGAAGGGAAGGGGGATTGGTTAAAAAACCACACAGGTCGGGGAAGCTCCCATGTTCCTTGGTATCTTTTAAAATTACAACAGCCACGGTAACTACAGACAGCTCCTTACTGCTGGGCAAGTCACCACACAGCCACTTCTAAATGGAGGAAAGGGACCCCCAGTGAGAAGCCATTAACAAAGGCAAAAGACATGCAAAACAAACAAAATAATCATGACCGAGAGAGAAGGCCAGCAGACAGTCTGGCTCTGTTCTCCCACCTCCTGCTGCAGGCACCTCAGACAATGTAAACAGTTAATTTGTTCACCTGCAGGCTCTGGGCAAACAGAGGCCTGGTCACACCTGAGTGGATAACTCGATTACCCCTATAATGCCAGCGTGGTAATGTACACAAATTCTATTACACGGCAAACCTTGCTTTTGGGCATTTGAAATACCAATCAGGCCAATGTCCACTCCCTTTTTTGCTTCCAATTTATTCTTGGTGTATTAGAGCTGCACCGGAATGGCACTAGGGTGGTGCTGAATTAAGACTCTGGAAGAAATCACTAGAAGATTGTGATCTCACTCAGCAGGGCTCTTGCAGGCCTTTTACTTTCTTGAAACATTGACCACATCGACCAGGGATCAAACCCGCAACCTGGGTCTGTGCTCTGACTGTGAATCAAACCCATCACCTTTTGGTATGCAGGACAAGACTCCAGCCAACTGAGCCACACTGGCCAGGGCAAGAGAGAGAACATTTTAATAATTTTTTTTTCAGGGACCTAGTTCCTTAGTCCACCTATACAGGATATGTGTAGTATTTCATTACAAAGACGATGCTACCGATTCCTCAGTAGCCCACCAGTTCTGCATCCTCTTCATACTGGTGATGAATCTGAGAATAATCTGTCCTTTCCCTTCCCAGTCCCTTTACAATCAGCAACACTATCTGTGAGATGATTAGGTGGGGCTCAGGGTTAACTTTGTGACTGAGGAAGAGAATAAAGTTAGCTGGTCCTTGTGGGGTTTGATTCACTATCTTGGCCTTATCAGCACTTGCTCAAACCAGTTGAGCTAGCTAGCTCTGACTCCTCCCCCCATGCATAATTATATTACAGTCTTGTTTATCTATAAATGAAATAAGAAGGCAGCTGACCTAGCCAGAATGTTTTTAAGAGTATTATATGATAATAAATTATGTACATAGTGATGACCTTTTAAACATTACAAGACCCTAAAAAGATCAAATTTTGATTGGCATAACTTTAGTATTATGTCTACCTTACTGTATTTTTAAACTTGAAAATTGGTTCCTGGATCTGAATTTTCAATTAAATTTTCCCCTAAGAATTATAAATCAATGGGAATTTATGTGGTGAGGGAGTCATGTAATACACACAAGAGAAGTGTATGACATGGAATAATTCTGGTTATGGTGACTGCATCATCAAGAGTGAAAAAATAAACTTTTGATCCAAGCCCTGCACTCTTATGTCTTTACCTTGCTCAGAATGCGGATGAGGTCACCCCGTTGGAAGGACAGTTCGTCTGGCTGGTCACCATGGCAATCCCATAAGCCCTGGTAATAACTGGCATAGTCCACTGATCAAAGAGAGGAGAAATCAAAGTTAAAAAGACTCTATCTTTTTTCCATAAAGCCCACATTTTTGCTGCAAATGGAAACCAGGGGTCTATATTGCCCCTAGGAAACAAGATTCGGGGGGGCTGGGATGAGATACTGCTAAACACTCAGCATGAGCAAAGGACTGTGGGCAAAGAAGATCATTAACTAACATTAAATATTTACAGATCACCTTTAGTCGGATGCTGTTCAATAATATGATAAATATATTCATTTATTAACAAAAGAAAATCAGGCAGGTAATTTTTCACTTGGTTTGTAAATAAGCAGCACAAAGAGATTTCCTGCTAGACTTTTGTGATCCAGGGCATCTAAACCATCAGTGCTTCTCTTTATTATACATTTGAAGGAATGGGGTAAGTCTCTGACTTCCTATTCACAGGAGAGGCTGAGTCAAGCAGCATGTGCCTGCATCACAGTCTCGCATGCTGGCCTCCTCTGTTACAGAGGAACTTCATCCTGGGCACTTCCCACCCAGGTACTCTGTGAGGTAATCGCCAATAAATACGGAAACAAATAGCCCAGTCTTTAAGTGGAACCAAGGGGGTGTCTCATCCATTACAACTAAATTCTGGGTGGGCTGGCCCTTTTCCAGCATCTCATTTGTAGACCCTGAACATGTCTGCCAAGATTTATCTGCAGGCCCCCAGGGGAACAGAAACCAAAGTGATCTGCATTAAAAATGAAAGCAACTCAAGACGACAAACCAAGCTTTAGAAGCAGCTGGAGAGATTTACTGAGCTTCTCAGCAAGACTAGATGGCAGTGATGCCACAGGACAGCCATCGATTCTTAACAATGAAGAATTTGTATTGATCTTCTTCTACCCGGAAAGGTTAAACACTAGAGTACAAAGTGGGAGAGGATCTGGGGATTTGAATGGCAGGAGAGCTAATGCCCACTAGACCAGGGATAATGTGGCAGTGCTCCCTGTGCCTTAGGATGCTATGTATGAGGGCTGCAAGCAAAGCACTTACCAAAGGTGAAATTCCTATCATTGGGAGTCAGGAGACCTGGGTTCTAATTAAAATTTAAGTGATTTTGGGGGGGACTATATTTTACCAGTTTCCACCTTTCCCTTCACTTGCCTTGACCCTCCTGTGAGGAGTAATGGTGCTAGTCGCCGAGGATAGGCATAGATGGGGGGGCAAGGGGACAGAGGCCCTGGCTATATTTTCTTTTTTCTGCGTGTTACTAACTTATGAGCAATTCAAATAATAAAGGCACAGAGGAACAAAATCCCTATATATGTCTCTGGAAAAGAACTTTAGTAGGATATTACAAACAGAAGTAAAAATGTTAACCATATAAAAACTCTGGCATGTTTTCTTTACACAGAAAATGGTTTGTATATGCAGTAGACAACAGAGGGCAGCAAACAAGACAACTACGCTGGAAACATTCTGCCACAGAGTTAAGAATATTTTTGGAAGAAATGACACTTTGGGATAAAAATGCTAACTATTGAAAGGACAAGGTATATATTTCTTGGATATCAGTGCATGAAATTAGAAATATCAGTCCCTGAAAAGTGAAAGTAGTTTTCCCAGAAGAAACAGTAATGCATTTTTAGTTGTAATGGAGTTGATTAATCACCCCAAGAGTTTGACTAAATTTAGGGATATAAAGTATATTGACATCGATATAATATAGTAGAGAAAATAATTTTATAAAAATAGATTTTAAAAACATAACTCGATATATCCAAATGATCAGACTGACAACATTATCTTGACTTTTCCTGGCCTAGCAGATGGTCATTGCAGGGTACTGCTCCCCACATGCCTGGCTATGGGATAGCGCCTAAGATTATGAGTACCTTTTGGGTATATACGTAAAAAAAATGATTTAATATTGAGGATATAAGGCACCTGGTGAGAACACCTGGAAAAAGAGCAATTCTAAAAGCACAATAGATCACAGAGAAAGCAAGAAGTTAGGAGGAAAAGAAAAACCTTCCAAGAAAAAATAAAGATAGAAAATGCCTTCAGTTCTTTATAAGCTGAAGGCCAAAAGAAGACAGAGCTCAGGAATCCAGGAGATAGATCAGCCTAGCCCAAGAACTGGAATTATCAGAACCATAACAAGAAAAGCTCTGAAAAATAAGGAGAATGAAGGGTTAACACTAGGGAAAAGGTTAGACTTGCTCTTTAGACACAAATGTTCTGCTATTAAGGAAATCAGGGAGGAGGAACACTTTAATTGGACAAGACTGGACTCTGTATTGCAGACTCCTTGTTTAACATATGTGTGGTTTGCACTTAAGTGTAAGAGTGTCCACAACTTCACAGCATTCATTGCTCAGCATTCAACAAACATGTACACAGCACCTACTAGGGACTATGCTAGATGCTGGGAATTCCACATTGGCCCCATTTGGCCCCATCCAGTGGGGGAGGCACCATGAAACAGTCACAAAAACATTTATTTATTTATGAGTGCAATATATCTGCAAAGGAGAAGTTGAAGGTGCTGTGTATGATAGGGAATCTAAGCTAGTCTGAGGGGTCAGGAAAGGCTTCCTGAAACTTTAGTTATGTAATAAAAACCCACCTAAGAGTAGGTGTTATTTACAGACCTCACAATGGGGAAGAGGTAAGGGCTTTATTCCTGAAGCTTGGCCCCAAGAAGAGCTTGAAGGCCGGAAGTCTGCAGGGCCAATCCAGCTTCTCCCAAAACTTGCTCAGCTTATCCTATAACAAGTGAATGCATGAGATTTTGATGTCTTTTAGGTCAGTGATGAATTGGGAGCTCGAGAGAGAGTATTGCTCTGTGGGCTGGACTGGTATTCCTTTAGGTTTATACTACTCTGGCAGCAGTCTGAGATCAGAAATGGTGCGTATTCTGACCATTTAATTAATTTAAAACATCCTCATTCTCATTTTGAGGATATTATTCCACCTAATTATTTTTTTTCCAGTCTGTCCATTTGGAATGAAAAACAAAAGAATAAAACTTAATGCTAGCATTTCTCAATGTGTCTCCAAAAAAATGTAACTCTGCACTAAATAAAGCCTGGTAATTCAAAAGCAAAGCACTAATACATTCAGCATAAAACAGACAGAGGACCTAGAGCAATAATGACACCATTAATAACTAAAACAGTTATAACAATTAACAACAATTACAATGATAGAGAAACTAATGGGTATGATCACAGCATTTAAATTGCTAGCAGAGCTGAGGACTCTTACCAGAGAAAAAAAGGGGGGCAGCATCTTATTTTCTTTATCTCACGTAAGAGAAACTAAGCTTCAAGCAAACAAAATGTCATAGAAAAAATAGCAACAGACCAAGTTAAAAAAATGGTTTTTCTCTCTTTTCTAGGTATTTTCTGCAAAGCATTTTTCATCCCACATCAAGTTCTTTATAACCAATGATAGTAAGTTTCCTGTAACTAAGGCCAAGTTGGTGCTACTGTTCACAGAGTTAATATTTGAAAATGAGCCTCTATGACGTGGAGAGTTCTAAGGTGAAAGGACCAGGACACCTTTCTGCCTCAAGGCTTCCTTCAGGACAACAGAACCTGACTGTGTTCCTTCCAGAATTCATATGCCACCTTTGGCTTTTGTTTGGGGGATACTGGGTAGTTCCAGAATTCAACCTGTGACCAAGAAGAAGAGGCTAGGTAGAGGAAAGTCAGTGTGTGTTTACATTTTCTTGATGAGCCAAAGGACTGTGCCAACAAGGCCTAGCATTGGGTATAACTACTTAACAGATTATAGAAAAAAAAGACAGAATGAGAAGACACATAAAGCCAGTCCTTGCTAGAGCCTGGGTTGGTAAGACTTGGACAAAGAAGGCTAAAGCAGTGGCCCATTGGAAGGGACTTGAAAGGCCCACCATGTTCAGTCCATTAAAGAAGTCTCAGTCTGATACCATATTAACTAATTCAGAAGGAGACGTGAAAAAATTTGTCAAGTTCACGGATTATGACATCAGAACAGGAAGAGCAACTGAACAATACCATTTGCTTGTTTTCATAGCTCTTTAATCTTGAGTTTTGAAGTTATTATGTTCCTTAAGGTTATAACTATGATATTGAAATAGGAACACTCACAGATCCAGATTCTCATCTCCTGTGCTCCTTTTATTGGGCCAAAATTGTAGCTGGCTGATGATTAACTCATGTTTTGGTCTTGGGAAATAAATTTCAAAAAGAGCTGCAAATACCTCTGTGGCTTCCCTGTTTCTTTTGTGTAACGGTTCATCCCATTGGTGGGCACCAAAGTGGAAAGAATGCCTCTGAGATGGAATGCTCATCAGCGACCATTTTCCTACCCTGCAGAAACTACAGAATGTGGGCCCCTCTTTGGCCAAGTTTGCCCACAATTTCAGAGTGAAAATAAACTGTTTCAGAATCTTCCTTGGTCAGAGATTTGATGTATCTAAGGATGATTTGTGTCTCCAACTCTGCTTTTTATTTGACATGGCACACCCAAGCAAATGGTCAGTAGTTTTCATATAAACAACACAGAATGAGCTTTATTTTTGGTTACCTGGACATGGCCTTCTCATGATAGGGGAGATAAACTCTCATCACTGAAGACACTTAGTGTTAGCCTGTTAGGCTGATGGGTTGGAATTTAGTGAACATCTGAGGTGTTGAAGAGTCACTCATTAAAATAACCCTGTTACTAACAGTCATGCTGTAAACCAAGCTCTTTATAGATTGAACAATCAATACTACAAGGTTGTGATAGATTTTTCTAGGTAACAGAATAAAATAAAAGAAATTACATCTTACAGGGTCATTAACATCCAATAAGGATAAACTGAATTCCTTTTTCCCCCCTCTTCTGATACGATCTAGTTGGGCTTTAAAAATGTTATCAGTTCCATTAGGGGAAAGCACAGCATTCCGGGAACAGGATCCCTGGAATGGTAGAAAAAATGGATTTTAAAGGTAACCCTGCTAAGCATAGTATCTTTTAGGAGAAAAGATTTTTCCTCCCTCAAAAGGCATGTGTCACCTGAGAAAAACTAAGTGAACCAAACTTGTGCAGCTTGTCCATTACATAAGAATTCACATTGTCCTAGAGTTCCCTGCCTTTTACATGCTTGCTGTGGGGCTGCCTACCCTTCCCCCGGACCTCTATATTTTATTGTTATAACGCCAAGTGATGACATTTGGATGTTACATATTTGTTGCCGTTTCTATAGCTCCTTTGGAGAAAAGGCACTATATAAGTTTAATAAATAAGTAAACACAAATAATAAAAATTCCTCCTTCAGATTCTGCAGAGAGAGCGAAAATTCCTCCTTTGCTTTTTAATCACTAAGTCACCAATCATTATAACTGATAAGAAGTATAAACCATAGAAACATATTTAGAGCTCTCCACTCTTTAACAACACCTATTTTGGAGGCAGGAAGCATGAAGAACAAAAGGGGTTTTTGAAATATAAAAAAATCTACTTGAATTATAGCTGTTGGGACAGTTAAGAAATAAATCTCCCTCACCCCCCAGATAGAACCTTAGAAAGAGAGACCGAAGGGGGAAGTGAGAAGCAGGAGGAGCCTGAAAGTGAAGTTGACTATCAAGTTGGCCATAGGAAGCTTCCAGTTAGTTATTCCACCCAAGCTGTCTATATGAAGTGTTTCCTTTCTGCACCGGTGATGGGAATTAGTGGAGAAAATACAGACATGGGGCATGGGTTGGTCAGGAAACAGATTTTCTGTTGGAAGCCTGCACAGCAAGTAGAAAACAGGAGACAATAGGTTTCAGAATGGACTAACTCACATGTTTTAATCGGTATGAGGCACTTACTTGAAGCTACACTAACACTCCTGCATCATACTGGCCTCTGTTCTGTCTTTCTCTCCTGCTTTGGCCCATGACTCTGCTGTCTTTTCTCTCCCTTGGGAGGCGCTGGGTATTTATGAAGTTGGGTCCTTCACTAAACCTGTTACATATTCGCTTCCTGTAGAGAATGAACGAAGGAAAGGGGCTTTGCTGAGTGGATAAAGAAGAGAAGAAAAAGGCACAAGGAAAGGAAGAGAGAAGAGAAAGGGGAAAAACAGGATCAGAGGAATGGAGAGGGAGCAGGGAGGGGAGAGGAAAAAGATTCCTAGGCTTAAGACGTCCACAGAATCGCTAGGAAAAAAATCAGCCAGTAGCTAAATCAGCCACAATTTAGGCTCTGCTGGTGGAACGAGATGTCCTTGAGGTGGCCCTTGCAACTCACATTCCTTTACTGACGATGACAGACTAGGTCCTTGGTCCACTTAAGGAGGCTTTAGAGGGGCACCTGACCTTAGAAAGGATGGGCTCACTAACAGCCTGAAACATGGTTAACAGTCTGAGATGAGTAAGATGCAACTTTGTATTCAACAGACCTGTTACATATTCATTTTCAAATGTGCCTGGAATCAAACCGGGCCATCAGAAGTCAGCATCACCAAGCAATTCTATCCTTCACCCCACGTTCACTTTTCAGATCTGACACATTTCCATTCCCCTCTGAACCTGCAATCTCCGGGCCTCACAGAGAGAAGACATTTCCATTCTTTCCATTCTCAATCCTCTGATCTCTTAGAGATGAGGCAATTCTATTTCCCCTGTACTGATTTCAGAAATACTGATAGGAAAAAATAAATATCTGGTTTGGCTTCCACCCTCTCCAGGATAAATCTTAACTGCTCTGGGAACATTAATTAAAATGAATGGGTGGCTGCTTTTAAAGTTAAGATATTTCCCTATCCAGTCATCTTGTTTGGGGCTTTTGAGGTCGACACACCAGTATCTTCTTAATTAGCGAGTCCTGTGATATAAAGGAAGGTGCTTTCTCCAGTCGGAAGCCCCAGTGTCTTAACAAGTGCCTGTACGTGTTTGAAGCTCTCATACCTCGTTTTTGTCCAGTGCTGCACTCATCCTCCTCTAGAGCATGCTCTTCATCTGAGGGGACAAACATCATCAGCATTAGCAGTTAATGGTCGATAGCCTTGTGTTCTTTACACCTCTGAACTCATCACACTCTCTTCCTTAAGGAAATAATTACCATGTTCTTTAAAAAATATCATCTCTTACCTTCAAGCAGGTCTCTCTCCTTCTTCCCTCCCTGTTCATTCATTCGCAAACTTTTTAAAGTGCTCACTATATGCAAAACTCTGCACTAGGAACTGGACAAGCCCAGCAGGGTCCCTGCCCTCTCAGAGCTTCCAGTCCACTGGATTATTTAGGTGCCTATCACTGAATCCTAGTAGTTTTTCTCAAACCCTATTTCTTCTCCCCTTCTGGAATTCTCTTCAAGGTGCATTATCTTCACATAAATCTCCAGATTTTGGGGGAGGAGGGTGTGCATGTGAAGGTGAGCACGTGTTTAAAGCCTCTGTGATTAATTAGTCCTTAATGTATCAAGCTTTGTTCAGTTGTAACAGAAGCTGGTCATGTACATAATTTTATGTTCCTAGTACTTGGGGCCTGTAGTTACCTTTTTACTGGTCTTATTCAGCCTGCCTTTTCATTAGAGTGTAAGCTCCTGAGGGCAGTTGGAATGGTCTTTTAATTAATTGCTACTGGTACACAATGGGTTCTAAGTCAGTGCTATTGTCTAACTCCAGTCAAGTGTTGCTGTGAGCAAAGTCACAATGTGATTGGCCTCTTTCTTATCTTCATTAACCTGTTTCATCTCACACTTCATACTACCTGACAACATTGGGCCTTTATAAAGCAAGCATGTGTCCTTACACACACAGACACACACACACACACACACACACACACACACACACACACACACAGAATGGGGCATAATAAGTCACATTTTGAGGGCTGAATACTTAGTTTCTTCTGGCCACACTTCCTTTCCTTTCTCTTTCTGAGTCTTAGGGCACTTACCTCTCTTGCTTTCCCATAGTTATGCTACTGAATGGAACTTTCTGAGGAAATGGCTTGGGGATAGTTCCCCACTTTTTTAAAATATAAGGTTTATAGGGCAATATGAATTCTGATATGTCATATTATGGGAAATAAACCCTAAGCTCATAAGTAAGAAGAAATAGAATAAATATTTTAGATTATTAAAGAAATAATCGATTTCACATACAAAATGATATAACTTCCCAGCAAAAATAAAAATAAAAACTAAGGGATTGATACTCTGGGGAAATAAGTCACTTGTTATTAAGGTAAAAAAAAAAAAAA